TCCGACTCAAAAAAAAAAAAAATGTGAGACAGAGTCTCAAACTCCTAACCTCAAGTGATCTTCCCGCCTTGCCCTCTCAAAGTGCTGGAATTACAGACACAAGTAACTGTGCCCAGCAGATGTGAACATTTTAACCAAATATTTCACAATGAGTTAAGAGGCGTTAAAAAAAACGATATTCGAGACCCGCCTGGACAGGCGAAACCTCATCTCTACAATAAATAAAAAAATCAGCCGGGCGTGGTAGTGCATGCCTGTAATTCCAGCTACTCGGAAGGCTGAGGTGGAAGGATCGCCGGAGCCCAGCAGGTTAAGGCTGCGATGGCCGGGAGCAGCCACTGCACTCCAGTCAGGCGACAGAGTAAGACTCCAACTCAAAAAAAAAGAAAAGACTGCAGATACAACCTGGAAACAGAAGTGAGTCACAACGGACCATGGGAGAGGGAGCGCTGGAGGGGGCTCCCGGCCACGCCTCTGGGAAACAGCAGACACCTGGTGCCCCCGGGGAGGTGATGCCAACCACTTGGTGTGCGTGCTTCTGCCAAGGGTCCAGGTCGCAGGCCCCGGGGGTCTGGACCCCGCTGAAGTGGCTCCTCCTCAGTGGGGCGGGAGGGAGCAGCGGCCCACTGGGGGCCACGGGGAGGAGTTCTGCCTCTCTGCATCTAGGTGTCACCATGCTCATGTCCACGGAATGGCTGGGGTGGGGACAGATGCTATGGACGAGGTTCTGGGGGGCAGGGGGGCTCCTGTTGTGGATACAGAAGGGGTAAGATGCCCCTGAGTGATCGCAGCGGAAATTTCTAGAGATCTCCTGGGCAGAGTCCAGTCGGGGATGTGGCTCTGGGGTCTTGACCCCGAGGGGGTTCACGCTTTGGAGTCCTGATGACAGCAGCAATTCACTCATCTACCCAGCTGCTCTGCGTGTCGGGTCCTGTGACGGCTCCTGTCTCCCATTCTACAGATGAGGAAACTGTGAGTATTTTACATAAACATGTCATTTTTTTTTTCCACGACTGCACAGAATTCTTCGGCGGTATCAAACAGCAAAGGTGAAAGACAGAAGGGCCTCAGCTTTCTGGGCTCGCCCTGCGGCCCGGGGTCTTCGGCCCACCCGGACCCTGTCAATCAGGTGGGCCTCCAAGGCTGGCTCCCAACACAGGATGAAGCCCAGTGGTATGCAGGCTCAGAGTCAGCGCGATTATTGTGCTCCAGGTGGAAAAAGCACAGGCTTTGACACTGTCTCCAGGTGCTGATGAGGAAGACAAGGTTGCATGGAGCCGCCTAGACTTCACCTCCTGGGGCAGAGGGCAGCCACTACAGTGTCACAACGAGAGGACCTCCCACCCCACCTCCCCTGCAGCCTGGGCCACAGAGTCAGAGGCAGGAGCCTCTTCAGAAAGCAGAGAGTCATGGGAGAGGGGTGGGAGAGACAGAGACAGAAACAGTAGAGAGACTGCTCCAGGGGCGGGCAGGAGGGGATCTTCCGGATGAGACTATTGATCTTTCAGGCGGGCCAAGTGGAATTGGAGGGGGGAGCTCGGGTGTGCCCACGCCCCAGGAGGATGGTGGGGTCAGCTGGGGAAGGGGTAGTCCGTGGCAGTGGCCGTGAGCTGAGTTGTGGGTGGTCACCGGCTGAGGCTCAGGCTCCCCACCCCAGGGTTGTGCGAGCCCTGTCTCTGTAAGCCTAAAGCTGGACTCCAGGCCTCTGAGGAGCCCCCAGGGCGGGCTGGCAGGATGGGCCTGTGGCTTTAGTGGGGCTGAGCCCAAGCCTACAAGCGGCATCCCCACCCACGTTGGGCTGAGGGCCAGGCGAGGCCTCAGAGCCAAGGGGCCCGGGCTCTGACTGTGCCAGGCTGGACACTGAGCCCCTGCCAGGGCACCCACCTCTGCTTTCGCTGGTGGAAGACACATGAACACCCTTCCCTGGAGGCACGGGCCCCTCTCAGGAGCCGGGGTAGGCCGTGCTGGGATGGGAACCCCTTCCTAGACGAATCGCTGTGTGTAGTATCTTCCCCCGCCCCATGAGTCACTGTCAGAGCCTGGCTCACCCTCCCTGACTGGCCGTTTTTGCTTCCTCAGGGCTGAGGTGGCTGCAGGTGTCGCAAGGACAGCCTGGGTGGTGAGAGGGCTGGGGGAAGGGTGGCACCCAGAACAGGGTGCACACAGCAGCCTCAGGCCGTTCTCTGTCCACTGCTTCCAGCCCCAGCCCCGGCCCCACAGCAAGGCCTGGGCTGAGAAGAGGGCTGCGCCTGGAGCAGCAGCTCGAGGGGGTCACCCTGTGTCTGGACTGTTTCCCCACCCCCACCAACACAGCTGGCCTGGGAGGACACGCTCCCAGGGTCTGAGAGCGGACAAGCAGTGGTGTGCACCCGCCTGGGCCACCCGCCCCGGCCAGAAGAGGGTCAGGGCTAGCCTCTGGGGGTGTGTGAGGACCTGGGAGGTGTTAGGGAAAAAGGGTCCACGTTTCTCGTCCCGCCCACCTCCCAAATAAACACAGACAGCATCTTTGGTGTGAGAACGAGGAACATTTAGACATTGGTGCTGGGTTTGCATCTCACCAGTGGCACGCAGGGCCGGGCAGAGCGAAGACAGGTGGGGTGTGGGAGCCGTGGCACTAGCCAGGCCCAGGGTCGCTGGTGGTCACTGGAGTGAGGGTGCCGGGGTCAAGTCCAGGTGGCCAGAGCCGGGGGCTCATGGAGCGGTGAGCCGTGCCACACTCTGCCAGGTGCCTGAAGTCACCAGGTGGTCATCTCAGCAAGCAACCTTGGCCAGGAACCCAGGTCTCCAGGAGGTGGGCAGGGCCAGCCTTCCGTCCACGGCGGGCAGGCAGCATCGCCAGACAGATCCTGGGCTCTTGACCCCTGAGCGTGAAAAGGCTGGGGCAGTGCTGGGTCCCACCGTGGCAGAGGCCTCCCGGGAGCTTGAGGCTTGGGACCCAGGCCTCAGTGCTAGGCCCAGCTGGGCGAAGCCCACCACCCACAGAAGTCCGAGTCGGAGACAGTACGCACAAAGGAAAGGGAGCGTGGCCCTAGTGAACCACTAGTCTCCCCTGTCGGAGGACACTCACCAGCTGCCACAGCAGGCTGCGGGTCAAGCCTGCGAGGTTACACGTGGCTGCGGGCTTGTAGCACTCCACACAGACAGATGGCACAGCGTGGGCTTCCCCTCGCCCATCCTGCTAAGCTTGAAGGGCGTGTCCCCAGGGGGGGACTGGCCAGATGCACTAGGAGCCCGCCAATCTCAAGGCCGCAGACACCCCAGTGGGCCGGAGATACTAAGGCACGAAGCTAACCTAAACCCACGGGGCAGGGCGTGGGGGCAGGGGTGGGGGTGCAGGCTCGAGGGGCTCTGGCCGGCAAAGCACACGGTGACCACGCAACGACGATGGCCTGTCTTTGACAACGTGGCACAGGATGGAGGCGCAGGGCGGCATCCGGGGTGCCCATGGCTCTTGCTGGAAGGGGCCGCTTCTCCAGGCCGCCCC